TTTTTAGAAGAGCTCAACATACACGACCTAGATTAAGAGTTTCATCCTTCAATCATGATGAAGAACATGTTTCGGCAACAGCAAAGAGATTAAACGTTAATCCACATTCCATAAGACAAAGCGAGAGATTACTTGCTAAACTCAAAAAAATTTATGAACTTTAGGATTAATTGCTCAAGATTGCAATGTAAATCGATCCGTTTCGTTCTTCTAATTCCCCTCTTGAATCTCCTACATGGTTCCATCTACAATTTTCTCATCCAGATCCCGGGAAGCCAGCAAGATAAAGCTAACCACGACCAATTCGAAAGCTAGACAAAGCAAAGATCACCAAAATGCTCAGAAACTAGAAAGAACCAAAAAATCCAAACCCGACCAGGAACCTAGGGATTTTCATCAAATCCACAAACCTGGAAGAATCGGAATAGCAAGAAGAATACGAGGAATCATCGGAGTGATGGCGTCTACGGCGTCGTTTCGTGCTGGACCGGCTCTTCCTCAGAACCTTGAGGGAATCCCTGTCCCTGTCGGTCCGGCGATTGCGACGGCGACGGCGATCGCTGCGGCGGCAACGAGAGTCTGAGGAATCGGAGGACGAATCGGACGATCTAGCCGCCATTGATTTTGCCTTGTCCGTCCCGAAGAGGATCTAAAGAAGCTCGAGAACAAATCCCAATTTAAGGATTTGCTCTTACTATTTATGTAGGAGAGAAATCTTCGGAGTCCGGACAAATTTTAGGGCTTATCTGATCTAATTTAAACTTGAGTCGCTTTAACATAAATATCTAAAAGTAAAAGTACTGAATTTCTATAATATATTATAATTTTTTTTTATTTAATGAGGATATTTATAATTGACTTATTGACTGCCGGGTAAATCTACCACTTGTATGAGGCAGGCAGCGGTCAAAGTAAATGTATAGATGCTAATCATTCATGTTTTCCTAACCATTTACCATAACGTGAAATCGGGGATTAGGAATACATCTAGTTTCTATCCCAAACCAATTTAATCAATGGCTTATTATTTAAACATATGTATTTAATTAAAGATCAATTTATATTAAAAGGGGCATAAATAATCGAGAAATGGAGGGGAAACATCTAAAAATGCATTAAAAAAAAGATGAGCTAATTAATAATATAATAAAATATATAAACAACATTCGACACACGCGAAGATTTAAACATTGATTTTACAATTCTAAAAAACATCATCCCCCATCAATTTTGGCAGACACCGTTCTTCTGAAAATCTTAAAAGTTTTTTTTTTCTCTTTTTCAAGAAAAAGAAGGAAAAAACATATTTTTGTAAGTCGCACGCTATAATATCTTAGGTAGACTTAGACGCGAAGGATGGTGCCTTCTTTGCAGAGGCGGTCGGGGCAGACGCCGCCGCCCGAGAAGCCGAGCGTCTTTTCCCCTTCTTGGCAGGTCGCGGAGCGGGAGCCGGAGCCTGAACTGGAGCCTGAACCGGAGCCGGAGCCGGAGCGGTCGCAGCCTTTGAACGCTTCTTCTTCCTTCTCCCTAGACCCTTCCGCTTAACCGGACCGATACTTGCCGATCCGGCTGTGCCGTCAGAAGCCCGCACCATCCCCCCGCTCGTAGCCGAGCCGGTCGGAGCTGAACCGGTTCCGGAAAGAAGACCGGGTGTGTACGGTACACCGGTTGCAGGAATCCAAGAATCGCCTTGGATGAACTTAGCCGGAGTGAACTGATCGATATCTTTGCTGGTCAATTTCTTGATACCGGCCCAAGTGACCCGGCTAGCGAGATCTGAACCGGGACCAGTGTTCTGGATTTCGGAGTAGAACAGGGTCTTGAGACCGAAATCGGCGTTCCATGGCTGCCATCCTTGAGGTTGGACGAAATCCGGGATGAATGTGTTCATGATGATGGTTCTTGAGTATTCCTTCCATGGCCTTCCGAGGTATGCCTTGGAACTTGCCTTCACGGCCAAGTAATCGGGTTCGCCCTCGATCCTGCAACCTTGGAACACGAACCCTGTCGGTTCCCTCGGGTCCTGACGTCCGTGAGCTGTTATCGGGCAGGCTTGGTTCGGGAGCGGCTTCCTGACAAGGAGCGTACAGTTCTGGAAAACGGTGGCCGAGTCACCGAACAAGAAGTCGATGGTTCCAGAGATGGTGCAGTCGCGGAAGAACTGACGGTGGGAGTGAGTGTAGAGCGTGTCTTGGTATCCGTCGAATCTGCAGTTGTGGAAAACGGCCATATCGGATTGAACTCTTACTGCCACGGCCTGGTGCTTGATCGCTCCTGCCGTGTTCTCGAACCCTATGTTCTTGGCAATGAAGTTGTCCCCAATAATGGCTGCAGACCCAAAAATAAACTCCATAAGATTCATTCAGAAAACATCGTTAAGATGACGCAAGAGAGAGAGATTTTCCATGAGATATCGTACCGACGGTTTGGGTACGGAAAGTGGTGATACCGTCCTTGAAACCTTTGTCACCGGAGATGATGGTCTTGTCCGGACCGTCACCGATGAAGACAAGATTCGTCATGCTTCTGTTAACCTGAATATACTCCTTGTAAAGACCAGCCTTGATGTGAACCACGAACGTCGAGTTCCTCTTCTTAGGGATGTTGTCCAAAGCCTCGTTGATCGTCTTGTACTGACCGCTCCCGTCTTGAGCCACGACGATGTCGGGTTTCACCTCAGTCGCGGCCAGTAGATGCCGAGAACGTGGACCAACCCACGAAGGGTAATCGCTAGACAACAACCTACGACTGTTCAGACCAGGTATATCCAACTGGCCGACAAAGTTCGACATCTCGCTCACCATTGCCAAACCATTGTGGGTCAACTGGATCGCTGTCTTCAACGCCTTTTTCATCGTCTCCCCGGCATTTCCCTGAGTCTGTTCGAACCCTTCGAGACACGTGGTCTCGTGGCTGATCGCAGCGCTGAGCCAGATCCTCAGATTGATCAAGGCCTCGTCCAGTTTGTGGAACTCGAACTTGCCCAGTTCCTCGAACGAGCTCTTGAGCTCGTCAATGGCGTAATTCATAAGCTCCCTGCACTGATCAAGCGCCATTTTCGTCCGCGGATCCTTCTGAAGCTCCACCAGCGTTTGCGATTTCTTCGCGGCCTCCGCGATTTGCTTCATCGTCACGTCAAACGCGGTTTTCACCAGCTCCATCGGGTCTGTCGTGTTCTTGGCGTTCTTCGTCAGCGTCTCCTCGCACGTCTTCTTGTAATCCGTCGGTGCACACACCTCCTTGATGGCCTTAACCGACGCCGTTATCTCTCCGTTACCGCCGGTTTTCTTGTCGGCGTTATCGCTCTTGTTCATGCTGACGCCTACCGTGACGGCGACAACCATCGAGATTAGAAGAACAGAGGAGATGGAGATAATAACGTATCTCTTCCTCTTCTTAGAATCATCGTTGTGTTCGTACGACATTTCTGTCTGAAAAAACAAATCAGAAGAGAGAATCAAGAAGGAAAAAAAAAACAGTTCTGTCTTTTTCTTTTTCTTTTTTTCTTTTTTTTTTTTTTAATTTTTAAAAAATATACGGACTCCCCTTCGAAGCCTGTGTTAGCCTCCTTAGGAGTTCGGATTATTGCATAATTGTTGGAATGACGAATTTATAAAGATAATTTCGTTTCCGAAAATTACAGATTTCGCTATTATGGTTGTTCTTGGACGTGAGGCTTGGCGGGAAAATCGATCTTAACAGAGACAAGAATAGGTTCTCCCATATGTTTGCGGTTTGGTTTCTGTCTTTATTTTTTTTTTCTCTTGAATTTCTAAATAGGGAAAATCAGCAGAAAACTCTTAAATTAGAGGGATTAATACCGGATTAATTCAGTGTCTAAATCGTGTTCAATTCACCAATCCACGACTAATGTATATTGACTTCAACCAAGATAGAATTTTACTAAATTCGTGTGTTGCTTTTGGATGAATTATAGATGGTATTAACCAATTTTTTTTTTACAAGTTTCGTAAATAAGATAGATTTATACCGTATGGTCCGTATCATTTGAAAGATGTATACGAATAAAAAAATTGTTAAAGGTACATACTTTTAAAAAAAATAAATTAAACTAAAATCCACGTGTTTTCAAGATTTTAATCGGTACTTTTGGGTTCTGTATTTTTCTTTTCTATTATTTGCACCTCCCCCTCCCTTTTTTGGGCGTTTTTTCCAAACTTAAGGCTTTTGATGATAATTTGATATTTTTTCGGATTAATTATCGTATCATATATTATTTTTGTGTCATAAAAAATATAAATGTATTCTAGTAATTCATGACTAATAACAAATCATTGACTTGTAACTAATTGTTTAGGTTTGGTATTCCATTTACTTAAGTCGACTAATCTTTATATTTACAAGAAACTGTCTAATGTTCTTATATTTTGTTGATTGATTTTAATCTGATATTAGATTTTATTCAAAAAAACTGTTATATATTATTCAATTTTATTTAATTCAGTTCGATTATATATATATATATATAGTTGAATAGAAATAATAAAATTAATTGTCAAAATAGACCAAGATGTCTAATTTCGAGATTATTTTCTCAAAAAAGCTAATTGGGTGTAGAATAAGAACAAGAATAAAAGAGAATATTCCGATGATGAAATTGAAACAGAAAGGGTAAGTCATCACTAAATCTTTTGACCGACCAAAACTGTATGCCCTTATCTCTTTCACCCACAGAGAGTTTCGAGAGTTTCCATAATTCGGACATGCAAAGTTGACTATGGGGATTTTACTTCCGCTTAAGCGTTATTGCATAAAGAATTAAACTTGGAACAAATAAATTATTTTTTCTTTTTTTCTAAATTTCTTTCCATTTTTTCACATATGCCCTTTTTTCTAATTTTGTAAACTGATGCCAAATTTTATAAAAGTCCAGTCCGAGACAATTAATAAAAAAAACGAAAGGAGATATTAGTCAAATCATCATCAATCCAATTTTATATACATATATATATATATAGTGGATGGATAAAAAAATCATTTATTAGAATAAATAAAAAAATTAGTTATGCATCAACTTGTAGGAAAATTAATAATATTTTCACTAAACTTTATAAGTTTTATCTGGAAAATTGGAGCGCGGTCTCATATGCTTTTATATAGAATTATAATTTTTTAAAATGTAAATGCATTTTGCGTCAAAATATCATAATCTAAGAATTCTTTTTGTATTTTTCCTAATAAGACACCTCGGAGCCAATTGAGATCGGTCCAAAATTTTATAACCTAATGAGCAATTTTTTTTCTTTCTTTATCTTTTAATTGGGGAGGAAATCTAAGGGGGATAAGCAACTCATTCGTAGCTGTATTTGTTTTGTATGTCGCCAATAAAGCTAATTATCAAGCTTTATGGTTAATTTTCCATATTGGTTTCACCTATATACATTAATTTTGTAAAAAAAAAATGTGAATATTCTCTGTATTGTATCAATGCATTTCCATTTGGAACAATATCCGATAAAATATCGTTACAATTCCATGAGAATTAAAAAAAATGGCACCGATTAATAATCACAATGTCTTTACATTACAAAAGACGAACATTTTGCTTGAAAATTATACATTTCGAATTTGCATAGATGAAATATAACGGACGGTAATAGACGAATACTTTTTTTTTAATTTTATATCTTAAACGGGGAGAAATTTCTAAGTTTATTGATTTTATTTATTAAGAGATTGAGCGTGGGATACACATTTTAAATGAATTGATATAATGTGAACAGTTACGAGCTGGAATATTATGTATTATATAGGGAAAATTATGTCAGAAAGAGCAAAAGTAAGATGTTTTAAGAAATATGAAAATAACATTCGGTCATTTGCTCATAAGGTGTAAAAATACGAGTTCCTCTTGTTTAGGATTTCAATGGTGTAGTAAACTTTGAGATTTCATTCCATATATTATCGTGAACATATATATATATATATATGTATATAAACCTCTCGAATCTATAACATAATACGCATTAGATACATATATATTTCGTTTTTTATATTCACCATCCCCACACATATATGGAGAGCCAAGTGGTTTCCATCTCGTCTTCTTCCGATTCTTCCTCGACCAAACTGGTTGTGGCAGAGAAAGATTCGACCAAACCCAACAAGGTGGAGCCTGGGGCGATGAATCCGAAACCCGGGTTTCAGATCTTGTCTAGGGACAGGATCCAGAACCATCATTTGGGGTGGGGAGAGGATCACCGCCACCACCATCAGGAGGGGGGGAGCTCTTCGAGATCTAGGGTTTACACCTGCAATTTCTGCAAGAAGGAGTTCTCTACTTCCCAAGCCCTAGGTGGCCATCAAAACGCTCACAAACAGGAACGGGAGTGGGAGAAGAAGCGCAAGCAGATCGAATTGGAGTATCCTAGCCTCGCTTTTTTACATCCCTATTTGAATAGATCGCCGTTCTCGAGCGGATCTTGGATTAACAGTTTATCATATGATAACCATCTTGGTTCGCGTTTTGATGCTTTTTTTCAAAAACCCAGTTTTTATACTCCGGCCAATAATACCGTCGGATACAGCTCGGGATACGGCACCCTGGCCATGGTTCCCCGTGTCCCTCCCGCCGCCGATAACAATCGGGTTTTCGCCGGAAAAGATCTTGTCCTGAACGACGATGATTTCTCAAAAAACTTGTTTCCTAGCAATGGTTTTCCAAAAGATCTTCATTCAAATGATGTTTTGCCAAAAGATTTCGCTCTTCGTAGCAATGTAGGATCGTCGAAAAGCTTATTCATCGGCGATGGTCGCTCGAGAAATCTCATCTCGATCTTTGGAGGAAACAGCTCTACTACCGACAAAGATCTCGCCGACAAGGAAGATGTTCAACAGAAGAATGTTTGCGCCAAAGAATGGGGGCAAGATTTATCTCTCTAGATAGATTTAACTCCACATTGTTTAGCGTTTCTCTGCCTTTTTTTTTTCTTTTTGCAAATTGAGGTATATAATGTTATATATATCTCCCCACATTATTGTTTTTTTATTTTCGCTTTTTTTTCACCACATATGATAGTTACTTGTCTGTACTATATCGTTCTTCTAATTTCATCAATGCATTCGGTTAAATTTTAATTTTGCTTTGCATTCGTATTCATACATATAATCCTTTTTTCATGATCTTCTTGCAAACGTTTTCTACGTTTTTTTTTTTGTTTTAGAGATAAATATTATTTGCATCCAAATATGTTATGGATTTTTATTGTCCTTTTACGACCAAAACCTACGGAACTCTTACCTTGTCGAGAAAACCGCTCACACCAATATATATTACCGCTGCACGGAAAACCGCGGATATGGATGTCGTCATTTATGAAGTGCGTGTATATATGTGTGTATTTCTGTGTATATATGTATGTATAAGATAATATTTCTATAAGGGTAAATACTCTCCTAATAATGTATGTATCTGTATACCTGTATAGATGCGAGGAAATCATCTGTACCAGCGGCGTTATCTGCATATTCCACATATCGAAAACATTGTATTCATCGAAATGTATGATTATATTTACGATCGTTGTGAAATTACAAATTGAAATGTATCCAAATTATGATTCGAATCCAACATCTTTGAAAGGTGTACGGTACCAATATCCAGATCGAGGAGCCCTCGTTGAACATTATGTGGATCGGTTTTGCTCGATGAACTCAGATGATTCTAGCTCATCCCTCCGACGATTCTTTGTGTTGTTCATCGAGATTTCATACCAAACATACCGAAAAAAAACGAGAAATATGTTTTTGTTCGATGAATTCGGGATGATATTTATCTCTCTTTGAGTTTGAACGAGATATATATATTTTGTGATATATGTTCCATTTGTACAAAGTTACTTGGTGATCTTATTCGAAGTTTGAGATCGGAAAACACGGTCATATGGTGCGAAATTCTCGCTCTAACGGTTACACGAAAAGAAAATACGATCCTTAGATTTATATTCCCTTTTTACAACGAAGATATTTGCGCCTTTGGCTCGACTGGTTCTCGTGATCTACACG